CTACAAGCTGAGCATCACGAGGAGACTTTAAGTAAATTCTTCGCCTTCGCCACCTTCCCGGCTCGTTGTTTGAGCCTGTGCAGAAACGCAGAGCGGGCTGTTAGCGGGTGTGCTGTGCTGCTTCGCCGTGCTGGGTGATGACAGTCCGTCCATCAACAGCATCCCTAAGAAGATAAGAACGTTAAGATAAGACATTAACCTCGTACGGTGCAAGTTTATGCTCTGAGAAGTGGCTTTCTGCTGGTGATGGACTGTATGTTGTGGTTTATATGAGCTGCCTGCACCTGTTTTCCTCTCTTCATGTGCACTTTCTGCTCATTACTTTTCTCAGATTTGGATCAAGGTGCTGCTGGTGTGATGGAGCCCTTCGGTTCCCCATCCAGCCTTGCAACTAAAGAGATAAGCTGGTTGTATTTTTCTTTATTTCAAGAGAGGTTTAGAATCTTGTCTTTTTTCCTAATAGTGTTCGTCACACAAAGCAGCTGATGAACGACCCTCGAAGAGGATGAAATGGGAAAAAAGCAGTCCCAAATCAGAACTGGAAGGACTCACATGTGGAAGTGGAAACCTTGCTGCACTGGGGGAAATGCCAAAAGCGTCTGGTGGGCATCGAGGTTCAGAAGATCCAGGAGACACCAATATAATCCAACAGAAAAAAGGTGAAAGCATTCCAGAGACTATGGAAGGGAAGCAGGCAGAGGTGCACGATGTTCCTCTGGAGCCACGCGCGGCGAGGTCGAGCAGCACCCCATTAAAGCCGGGCAGTGGTGGATATGTGCCCCGGCCCCTGTTCGGGGAGGAGGAGAGCAGCTGTGGCAGTGTGCTGGCCGAGGAGTCCGGCTCCGAGGACACCGATCGCCCCAGGAGGCCGATGCAGCTGGAGCACAGCGGGTTCTCGGATGAGGACAGCAACCAGCCCATGCCAGTGCACCGCTTCTTCGGGGATTTCGAGCCGGTAAGGTGATGAGTGTGTTGGTGCTCTAGACTCGGCTCTGCTCCACTTTAAATTTGCCTCAAAATTGCTGGCAAACTTGACCAGATTGTTGGACATCTGGAGTTATATCGCTGTCCCCCTGATAGAACTGTCTCAATCAGAGATGAAATTACTTGCCCAGCCAAAGTAATTTTAGGTGTAAAATATTTCTTATTTAGATTTTTTAGTCAAGTTCCATAAGAGATATTTTTTTCTGATAAAGACCTTCACAGCTGTATTATGGTGACGCAGCACTGTTGTCAAAATAGTTTTTTACTGGTCCTTGATTCTTAATAGAATCATAAAATGGCAGGGACCTGAAATATCATCCAGTTCCACCCCCCTGCATTGGACTTATCCTTAATGATTTTATCTGTTTCCTGCAGGATCTCCCAGCAGTTGCACTCCCAAGCACAACGATGAGCAGGAGAGAAGTCAGGAACCTCCATTTCTTTGCAAAGGAAGATGAGGAGGAGGAAGAGGATGTTGTCTAACAACAAACTGTAAACAAATTAAACCTTTCTTCTTTTTCTTTGCAACCACATAGCAATGGTTCTGTCAGTAACATAAGGTGTCTGTGTTTGCCTTTTCTCAGGGAGAGAACTGGGAGAATTTGTGTTGCTGGAATTGGCAGATACAGTATTCCTACAGTTATCTGGGGCAAAGACTGTGATTTGGAAAGAGATTGTAATTTAGCACTTTACCATTAATATTTAGGAAAAAAAAACACAGGGAAAATAGAAATTCTCAAGGGTTTTTTTTATAAATTTGAGCCTCAATCTAGAGGGAATATTTGGTTTCACTCTTTTTTTTTTGAAATAGTCAAGGAAAAGATGCTAAAACAACCTTCTTTTAATCCTGTGATGTCTCTGGCACCCAGGTAGTAAAGGAGCCAGTTGACTCCCTGGTACAGAGGGACAAGGGTCTCTTGTGTAGGTTGTGTGGGTGGTTTACATCTAAACCAGGACCAATTAAACCTCTACAAATCAGTTCTGCTGCCAAAATGCAATGCAGGGTGTCAGTGTGAGTTCAGTGTGTTCATCTCTGGGAGTTCAGCACGTTTTTACTGCACGTCAGCTCCCCACACACCCCCCCTGTGTTGCTGCCTCCCCCTCCACCCGCTGCTGTAAAAGTTGCTCTTTGAGCTGTGCTGCAGCTCATTAAGGATTTTAGACTGATTTTCAGCAGGGATTTTGTAAACAAATGCTTTGGTGGATATAAAGGAGGATTTGATGGGCAGAGGAACAAGTATGGATTGCTAAGATGTGGGGCAGCCCCCCCTGCATGTTTAAAAAGTAAGAAGCAACCTCAGCTAATTCCAGGAACTGTTAATTCACCCAGTATTTGTTGGAGTATTTCTTTGAAAGTGTGATTATGCAATAAGCTTCCAGTTATTTATTGTTATAGTTCCTTCTGTGTTTCTAAAAATAGAGGAAAAATGTTATCAGCAGATGGTTTAAATAAATATTAATTTCTACAGCTAGAGCCTGTTAAACATTCACAAGTTGTGAGGCAAACAAATTGTATATGCATGGCATGGTAATGCAGTCCCATTTCCACTCCAGCTGATGCATTGTTTCTGTCAACGATATTTCTTTTCACTCCAATTCTGTAGCATGGAAAAATCCAGATTTTTAATTGCATATTCATGGTTCCAGCCCAGCTCCATCTTGCAGCAGCTTTCCTTCAGTGCTGTTTGCTGCTGGCTCTTTCTAGCAAGCAGGGTTTCACACACAGACATTCATTTCACTCTGCAAAATGGGGATTTTCAGTGTACCACACAGGTGACACTGGGTTTGTCACCAGAATCCTGGCTGTGCTGCCCTCCCCAGTGTCAAACAGTGCAGGAAAGCAAGCTGGATTGATGAGTTCTGTGCAGTGGAGTTAGAGATCCCGTATTTAAAATGCACCTCCTTACCTTTCAGGCTGAAATGTTTGGGAGGGGATTGAGTGTGTTAAGTAAATCACTGCTCTCTCCAGCAAAGCTTCCAAGACCCAATAAGTCGGGGCTCATGCAGAAATACCATCTCTGTACAATTCCATGTGGAGCAGGAGCTCCATGCAGGAGCATCAATATGGGGGGAGACAGAGCTTTTCTGGGTTATTTACAGAGCAGGAGGTAGCTGGTGCTCCATAAACGTGCCTCCCTGTGCTCAGACTGTAATGCTCTGTCATACCTGATGAACCACTCCTGCACCTCCACATATTCACAAACACAGATAAGGGGTCATTTTTTTTATTTGAAAAAATTCACACTGTTTACAGCAACAGTCCCTAAAAGTTCACTTGCTATCAGCTGGTATTTAAAAAAAAAAAATCAAGTAAAAATCCATCTATTTGTGTTTTATTGCCTGAGGTAGGAAGTATTTTACCCCATCAATATTCTCTACAGCACCAGGTAAACATGATTATTGTAAACTTGATTGTTATAGATGTCACTGCTGGTGGTGCTTCAAGCAAACTTAAGCTGAAAAGGCAGAAAACGTTCAAAAGAAGAGGGAATCAATGGGGAGGTGGCAAACAAAGCAAAGCTATGCCATGGCCTTGCTCTTCCTTCTGGGAGATGCACATCTGAAGGAACAGCAAAGGAGTGGTCAGGGATGAAGGCAGGAGGTTGGCACAGGTGAGGTGGCAGCTCTGCTGCTGAATCACCTTTGCCATTCCTGGAATACACTCCCTCCTACCTGCAAAAGGCACAGAGCAAAACGATGGTCCTAAATCATTCCTTGTCTGGCTTACAGAGAACAGGAATGTACGAGCCCCCCCAGATTAGTTTGTGAGAAATGTTTTGTCCAGGTTTCCTTTCTGTGTACTGCAAGTTTTGTGCCGACACTGGTCATGGCAAGAAAGAGATGGTAGGGTGGAAACAGTGTCAGCCTCTGGCTCATTTTGTACCCTCACAGCTGGATTTTAACACCCTTGGCACAGTGTGAGCTGAGGGAGGCTCACAGGGAGTGGGAAGGCGAGGGAGCATCAGCGTGTGCTTTGTGAGCTGTGGTTGTGTTACTCAGCCAGTCCCGTGCCAGGCACTCTTAATAGTTCTTGTTTAAGAAACTGGAGCTATTTAAAAACAACAGCACTGACATGATTGCAAAAAGTAGCAGGTCCCTTCCAGAGACAGCACTAGGAAATCTCGTGGTTTTGCTTCCTCTTTCTGTAAATTTTGGTTTTGTCACAGCTGAGGTTATGAGTGGTTTTCTTATGGCAAGCAATATGTACGAGTTTTAAATTATCCAGGGTAAACAGCAGCTGATAGAAATATTCCCAGTTCACTTCTCTTCCGTCGCGTGTTTTGACAGCTTCTGCCAGTTCTGGGACAACAGCACGCTTCTTCTCAATTCTTGGGGACACAAAAGAGAAAACAATATTGCCATCAGTTTTTTCAGAGTAATCAAGCCTGCATCTTTCTTTCAGAGCCAGGCAGAATTGGAATTCTTTCTCCATAACTAGGTTTATGATTTTTTTCCCCCAAGGAAATTAGTTTAGCAAATCCTGTTTGCATCACATGCACGTTTAAAATAGGTCTGAGGGGTTTTGCCAGAGTGAATTGACAGAGATAACACAGTGAGGAGGGGTTTGCTTCCATACAAAGAAAATCTGCACAGAAGCAAAGCAGCGAATGAGAGACAGGATGATCATCTGTCTTCGGGGTGCTGTTCTCAGCACAGCTGCAGCATCCCAGCACCTTCTCACAAAATATTCATAGCAGAGCAGGGGGGTAAAGACTAAGGCTAAACCATTCCTGATGGAGCAGAAAGGCATGAATCAGGTAAGTCTGGATTAACACTTTGTACATACACGTGATCGAGATTCCAGGTGCTGAAGAGGATCCTGCTCTCCCTGTTGCTGTAGGGGTTGATGGAATGCTTGCACGGGCAGTCGTCTCTGTCAAAAGGTCCCTGTGAAACCAGAGGGCTGCAGTGAAAGGTGTCACACTTGTCACCCATGGCCAGGGGTGGAATGAGATGATCTTTAAGGTCCCTTCTAACCCAAACCATTCCATGATTCTATGACTCTGCTTTGGGAAGGGCTGCACATACCTGACAGGAGAACCACCCCTCCGCAGTGCACAGACGTGCTGCCTCCTCCTCCTCCCTTCTGTCAAAGTAGCACCCGTTATACTTCACAGATTTCAGTTTCTCTGCCATCAGGTCGATTACCCCTCTGTAGGCATCTCTTGCTGCAGGATGAACGTTTGAAATAAAACCACTAACCTAGAGGGGGAAACCCAACAGTCACTCCTCGGTTCCTGTGGCAGCCTCAGGCTCTGTTCTGCAATCACAATGTTGCACTGTAAAAGTGTTTTTTAAAAATTCATGTGGCCACAGGATTACTGTTGACAATAAGTTACTTCAACGGAAACTTTTACCTCTCTCATGTAGCCCCGCATTCTGCTCTCACAGCTGTGCCTCATGTAGCTGGATTTGTTCTTGAACCGAGACTCCAGCCCTGGAGGGAGTGACATTGCTTTGTACCTCAGCACAGCTCCTGCCCCGCTGGGCGTCCATCCCGGCTTTTCACTAACTGGGGATGCACAGGGTTTTTTCTTTCCCGTTTTTATTTCACTGGTTCAGGACTACCCTGCCCTTAGCACTGAAAGGGACCCCACACTGGCATCTGCTGGGAGAGCAGTGGCTGGTACTGTGGTTGTTAAATATTTCTTGCTAACGTGCATATGTGGAACACTAAGAGATTGTGAAAGGAGAACAGAATTGTTTGGGAAGAACTGCAGCAATGACTTGGGAATGGGAGAGGGACCTTGCAGAGTGTAAAGATAACATAAAGCAAGGTTAGCTGACTGAGCTGTGCTAGTTACTGATACACTACTAACAAATCATTAAAAGATCATAAATGCAGATCTAGAGTCATGGGGAAAAAATCTTGGACAGACCAATAGGAAACACTGTCTTTATCATTTTGTGATAATAAATATGCACATATTTTAAAGAAACCTAAAGACACGTGCTACTGGAAGGGATAACTAGTCCCCTGACCAGGTACCTTATCCCACCAGCCAGAAGCGCTCCCAAACTTTTAAACAATTCTTTAAGAGCAGTAAAACTGACAAAAGTGACTTTGAGCAGAGCAAGACCCGGGGGTCCCTCAGCAGCTCCCTGTGGCCACAGACACACCTTCGAACCACTTCTTGTC